GGAAGGAAGGAAGGAAGGAAGGAAGGAAGGAAGGAAGGAAGGAAGGACGTAATTGAGACTGATGGGGGCAGGAGGGACCTGGGCTAGCAAAATTGTGCCTCCATTATTTACAATATCCCCCTATTCAAGACAAATGGGTTCAAACCTTCTTAATAATTTTGAGGTATGCAAAATTCAATTCTGTTCTGATATATGATGATTATGAGCAGAGAATTATCATAGCTGGAAATAAGAGAGAGAAGAAGAACACTAAGAAAGGAAGAAAGACATTTAGGCAGCTGGCTCAGAACAAAATCTAATTCCTATTCACGTGGATACTATAGATACTAAGAATTATTCAAGAGTCAGACAAGCTAATGAAGTAGGCTTTTAGTAACAAACCAAGCTGATTCTGACATTGCTCTTTTTCTCCACAAACATTCTGGTAAGTAGATTATCTGGAAAAATCCACCAATATTAAGTTTTTGTTTTTTGTTCTAAAATGGAGATAGGTACATCAGATGTCTTCAACTCGGTTCCCTCCAGATGTTTTGCAAAGGCCAAGGAATTCCAGATAGACCCAATTGATCTAAAAGGCAGCAGGTTGAGGAAAGAAAAGCTATGTTTTTATTCTAAAAGTATATAACCTCTCACTCACTCTGAATTATGGTGCACTCAGTATTGTGGTACATAGACAATGGACATGGCTTGGAAGACAGTCATGTTAAATTTAAACTCTGAACCCTCTTTTTGCAAATAAAGAGCTACACAAGGAACCAAAAACTTCTCAGCCATTTGAACAATGGGAAAAATGTAGCTGCTGGCCAGATATTTTTAGTGAAAAATAAATATCATTGTTTAATAATAACTTGGTCAAGCATGTGATCTACAAAGTACAGGCTTTGTTCAGCAATGAATGCTTAAATTTTTACTCCCATTTTTGGTTACACTGGCCTAGAAATTTGTACCATAATCTCATGTGTTTATATAAAGTTATACTAAATTCGATTGGACTTACTCTCAAATTAATCTCCACAGGTTTACAACTTTAATGTGAGAAAGTTGGAGGAAGGAGCATAACACCTGGCATTGCATATCCAATGTCATTATTACCGGTATGGTAGAAAGCAGAATCATTATTGTAGAATAAAAAGGAATGGGATTTAGATGGGTGTACAATACGTTTCCAATAAGTTTCCAAGTATACAGATATGATTTTTTTTAGGAACAGAAAATCACATGAAACAGGTGTGCTGGTTCTTACATTACATACATTTCAATTATTTACATATCATGTAACGAAAAATCAGCTGATATTTCTAGATTGTACTTGCCAACTAATTCACACATTAATTAAAACACTTTGTTATTTGCAAAAACGGAGAAAAATTATGAAATGTAGTGTTTGTATCGACACAACGAAGAATTATCATTGGCACAAAAAAGTATATTTTCCTCAAACTGTTTGAATCTTCTTTGGATGAGGAATTGGAGGAAAACAACTACCAATTTTCATCTTGTTATCAGATTGTCTCCTGCAAAATGGCTACTCAAGAAATCTGTACAAATCAGGCCCGTCTTTTAACTGTTTTTGTATAAAATTGAAATTCAAATTTCTTTATACCTTGAAGCTTCTTGAAACAAAGGAAAACAAAAAGAGAAAACTAAGAGGGTTTTTTTGTTAAAAAAATACAAAAACCAAAAGACCAAATAATAAGGGCTGTGTATGGCAGTTACAGTATCTACCATAGCAGCTTCAAGTATTTACAATGCTGTGTTTTAATTTATTTATATCTTTACAGAAATGGTACAATGCTCTAGCCAAAGTATTTTCATGACTGCTGTTATCACCCATGACTCAGTAAATATTTTCAGACTATCTCTCTTCAGCCATTTTCCTTAAGGCACTGCATGCATGCGATGGACTCCTTCTCAGTGGAGCTTCTTTTACTGGATTGTGCATTTCTCTCTCTCCCTTGCTTGCTCTTCTCTGAGGACTTTGGATTTTATATATTTCAAATCACTGTTGACACTGGGTCGACGAGCAAAGGGGGAAATCATGCCATAGGCATCTGTCTCTTTGACCCTATGCATCCTGAAGGACTTTTGGTGGAAAGCATCACCATACTGCACAGAGATCTTCCTATGAAGAGCAGGACTCATTTCATGGGGTAGTTTGGCCATGCTGAAAAGAACATAGAACATCTCGTTCACGTTGGTGTTTTTCTTGGCTGAGACTTCAAAGTATGCACAGTTCTCATCACTGGAGACAAGCTTCTCAGCTTCCTCAGAACTCACTTGGCGATAGAGTTCACCATGATCATTCTTGTTACCACAGATCACCATGGGCAAGTCCCCTGTTTCCTTGGTTTTGTTCTTCAGACAAGATTTGACTTCAAGGATCTGATTCTGGAGCCTCTTGACCTCATCAAAAGATTCTCTGTTATCCAAACTGAATACAAGAATGAAAACATCTCCTGCAATATTTCAACAAGAAATAATAAAGGCAGTAGGTTACTCCTTTATCATACAGAAATATGTGCTTAAAAACAGCAGACAGCAAAACTATGATAAATTCTATAGATTTTATGGCAGAATTTGCAGGCTAGTGCCTTCTATTTGTCAGAGTTCAAAGCCCATAATACCTAACACTTTTCTAATCAAAAGCCATACTACCCAGGAAGATGAAGCTAAAGTCTAGCATAAGTGGAGAATGTTATGGTGGGAGACAGTAGCAATAAAACAAAAACATTTGGGATATTTAAATAAAATAGATATTATTTAAGAAGTCACAGAACTAAGGGACCCATTAACGTATAAATGCAGTGCAATGAATTCAGGTTGCAAAGCTTCCATGTCATCAAGGGGAATTTTAACCTTATTTTTTCTGTAGTGGCATCCTCTTCAGTGAAAAATTGAATTGGCACTATTACTAATATTATTTTTCTTCTATCTTGTCTAACTCTAAGAACTAAATGCTGAACAACCTGTGAAGTTTCATTCATTCAGTATCTAAAACATTTCTTTTCCAATCTTCCAATGTTTTCTTGAAGTTCCATTTTTACTTGTTACAATCTTCCATATTTCAGTCTCTATATATTGTTCCCTTGCCATTGTTTGACATCTAAATTTCCTAAATTCTAACAGCGAACTATCTGGTTGTGGTTGCTGTCTTATATATTCTGTAAAAAATGTCCAATTGCAATGCTTCATATAATGATTGATGCAGATAACCCTGAAAAAGAAAATAGTTGCTGTGTGATCCACTTATATTAAATATAAGGTTGAATCAGTTGGTTTCAATTGATTATGCATGTCTATTTTTAGCCAATCTTAATACACATAGGTTTTTTTTTACTTAAAACCATTTGTTTAGAGACTGAAAAAAGTGACTTATGATAGTTTTTCACACTTATTACTATTGTATCATTTCCATGGTCACATGATCAAAATTTTGACATTTGGCAACTGGCACACATTTTTGACAACTGCAGTGTCCCAGTGTCATGTGATCACTTTTTGCAACCTTCTGACAAGTTAGTAACAACCGTGTTACTAACTTAACATCTGCAGTGATTCACCTAACAGCTGTGGCAAAAAGGGTTATTAAATGTCACTTAACAACTGTCTGGCTTAGCAATGGAAATTTTGGGCTCAGTTGTGGTCATGAGTCAAGAACTATTTCTCTATAAATATCAAAGAATCAATAGCTGTGAATGGAAAAGCCCTTTTCAGATGCATGTTGGGCTCACATACCAAAGATGCATTGGTGGGCTCACATACAGACAAAGGTGGTTTTGTCCTATTTGAACAATAGACATTAATGTTATATCACATGCTGCTCTAGAAATATGTTTGAGTTTTCAGAGCAGCTTGCCATGCCACAAGAGTTTGTTTGTCCAAGAAAACCAAGGCCAAAGTGTTCTTGTCCAAAAGCATCTGACTTAGTCTTTGGGAAATTGGTGGTTGCCTCTTAAAGATAGGATTTAGAGTTAATATGGGGCAATTCTTGCATTTTCCTTTTAACTTTGGATTTTCCCAAACACCCCCAGCCTGCTTCTTCTCCCAAAAAGTGTATCAGCCCTGATTATGACAAACTTAACTTGCCACTGTTATGTTTCTAACCTGTGAGAATGGAGAGCCTTCTCATGGCAGGGAATGGATGATTCCCAGATGTATCCAAGATGTCCAGCTGATACATGTCTCCTCGAATGTTGTAAACTTTGCGATGGAAATCCTCAATGGTGGGTGTGTATTGGTCATCAAAGCGGCCATTGAGAAACCGAGAGACAATGGAACTCTTGCCTACCCTGGAGGCTCCCAATACAACCATCCGGTATGAATTCTTGGCTGGCACATTCAAGGTGCAGTTCCCACTGGACATAGTCTTCATCATTGCTCAGATCTAAAAAAGATATAAAAAGGAACTATTGTTACCAATGATAGTAAAAATAACAATGTCGTCAGAATAATACAGTGGAACAACAATGAAGTATAAACAATTATAAACAATGGCATGACAATGTAGCAACAATGGTGCATTGGAATATCTGCAAGAAATATCATTTACCTACAGAATAAGAACTGGTGGACCACAAAATAGAAAATAAACAGAGTACTTTGGGACTTTAGAATTTAAACAGACAAGCATCTCCCACATAACACTCCAGGAATAACAATTGTTGATAAGAAAGACAAAAAAAGTCTGGATAGTGGACATGGCAGTACCTAGAGACAGCAGAACAAAAGAGAAAGAATTAGAGAAAATAGCAATATGGAAAGAGCAGAAATCGAATGATTATGGCAAACAAAAGATAAGATAGTATCAGTAGTAATTGCCTCCTTTGGTACAATCCAAAACATCTGGAGACCACTTGAACACCATCAGCATTGACAAAACCACCATCAGTAAACTGCAAAATGTAGCTTTACTTGGAACAGCTTACAGCTTATAATCACTGGAGGTTTTCAAGAAGAGATTGGTCAGCCATTTGGTCTCCTGCTTGAGCAGGGATTGGGTTAGGAGATCTCTAAGATCCCTTCCAACCTTATTGTTTTATGTTTAAGTTCTGTCCTGCAATGATATCTTTAGTACCATCAAACAATAACATTTATCTATCCTAAGTTTTTGGGAAAGATTTAATAGGTGGATGAAAATGTCAAAGCCAGTCTAAGCATCTAGTTGACTGTGTGACCAACCATCATCATCATCATAATGCTTTTCAGTGACAGTGAAATCCAATATTACGTTTTTGCAGATAATAGGTATCTTTGGATCCTTTATTTTGACAAATATCTTTCAGGTAAGAATCCTGGAGAAGTATTATTGTGTGGGAAAGGCAAGCACATGGAGTAACACCAATGCATTCAGCACTAGTGATTAATGGTGGACTAACTGTAGCTTAATTGGGGCTTATAGTAGTTAAATAAATATATCCTAAGAACTTTATATCCATAATACTGCTACTTAACTTTAATTTTTAGAATACCATAATTTTAACCTTGCATTCCAAGAAATCAAAACATCTAAAAAAATATTATTATTTCCATTTAACCAATTTCATATTTGAATTGTGAACTTGGTGCTATAAGTATAGATTTTATAAATTTGATTCCAGGTAAAAATCAGATTTATAAAATCTATACTTATAACACCAATATAAATTGTAATACTGACATATATGGCATCCAAATTGCATTAGATTCACAATGTATTGTGAATTGGATTGACTTGAGTTACATAGACTTTCAGGTAATTAAATTTTGTTTAAATTAATTGCATCATTTTAAGCATTTTAAAATGCAATATGAGAAAAGAGACAGTGCCACATTTTGAAAGTCATTTCACGAAGTGGGCTTGAATGATGAGTCAGCCAGGAATATTTTAATGTTATAGAAAGGCGTCTGATTACTAGCTATTCATTTATTGTCTTTTTTTATTAATAGGATTAAAATAATTCTTGTTGTGCCAGGCTAATTTAGGACATTTCCACAAGCAGTCACATTATCAGTACAAAATCAGTTCTGGATATCTGTAAAGTTTAACAATGTTCAGAAACTGATTCCTTTCTGCCTCAGCTAATGGGTATTTGGAACTGTAATGCACCCAAAATGTACATGCAGGCTGATCTTCTACTGATGGACCTCTGGATTCACTATATCTCCTGCTCCCTGAACTCAATCCAACCAGTGCTTCTTTCCCACCCCACAGAGGTTCAGGTGCCATAGTTTCCAAAAGATGTGTTCTGTGCCATCAAGTTGTTGTCAACTCTTAGTGGCCACATAGATAGAACTTCTCCATGGTGATCTATCCCTAATCTGTCTTATTTTATGGGTTTTTAAAATGCAAGAAGGTAGCCTTGTATCATCACCTCCTCATAACTCCTCAGGTTTTTTTTTCCATACCACCAGACAAATGCACACATGAAATAAAGATATGGGAGGTGAAGCAGAGAGTCTTTCTTTTGTATGAAATAGTTGAAAGTTGTTTCTTTTATATATGAGCAGAAGAAACTTGGTCCAGGGCACTAATTGAATGATGCTTTTTGTATATCAATGGTTGACTGAGGGGGAGGGGGTATTGATAAACTCAAGGGCTTATCTGCCAGTTCTCAACATTTTGAAATCTGCAGACATGAAAAAGAACATCTGTCTATTTCAAACAATTTTGTGGGGGATTGGGAAATAGACATGTACTACGACCATAGGAACTGTATGTGGTATGCTGATTGATTCCAATGATATATATATATGTCATCCAACCAGGGGACAGCCAGTTCTGATTCAGTGGAATAACAAATGAAAACTAGTTTGATGGAGCAGTTAAAGTGCTGGGCTAAAAAATGAAAAATAGTAACTTCTATTCCTTTCTTGGTGACTTCAGGTCATTTGCTCCCTCTTAGCCCAATCTCTCTCATACAGTTATTGTTGCAGGGAAGCATTAAATACATATGCCGCCTTCAGATGACCAAAAATGAAGGCAGGATAAAATCAAAGAAAGAAATAATATATTGAAAAGTGATCCTATGCAAAAAAGAAAAAAAGTTATCCTATCCTATCCTAAAGACAAAATCAAGAATCTTCAGAGGTTTTCTACTGGGTGAGCACCAAGGCTCGATAATTGGGGATTTGTCTGAGCAATGTTAGTCAACTTATCCTGGTTTACTATTTCTCTTAGTTCCATCTATCTCTTGGCTCATCTTTGTACCTGCCTACTGCTTAATTGAAACAATTTGACATGGGAAGAATACAAAGCTAAGATGTTTATGCATGCTTGCTTTCTCCCTCTTTCAACATTTATGTAAGAAAACTTTCCATAACCCATTTTTACTAATGGGAAGACAAGTATAGCTGGTACGGATCAGTCCTAATTTAATGAGAGCAAAGTATCATCTAGTTAAATCCCTTGAAACAAAAGTGGACATATAGTCATCAGTCCTAAATAGATTTGATTGCACTATTTTAATTGCAAGGAACCCGATCAATGCCATGAATTAAGGAAACCAACAAGCCATTCAAAGTATTAAATAAAATGGTCTCTTCAATATGGCCTTAAGTAAATAAAGAACCGTGTTTATTAAAGAAATTTTCTTTTGGTCAGAAGCATGTTTATTCAAACAAATATTTCCTAATATTTATTCTTTTCAGCCACACTGAAATATACAATTTTTATTTTTAATTTTGAATGTGACCTTTTAAACCTCAATTTTCAAGTCTGCTTTTTTGACTTATGGACTGAGTGGGGAATGGAAGGATCAGGCAGTATCCAAATTTAACTGAATGCAATTGTAATTTAATGAAACATTATATGCATTAATTGAATTCCATTACTATGAATGGACTACTATGCAATTAGTCATTTCCTTCTTTGTTTGCATTGAAGTTATCATTCTGGAGCCACTTTTAGAAAGCTTTGTGAGTTCTTGGCTGATGCTTTTAGAGGCACAACAGACAATTCTTGAACTATAGCTTGTGCATCCTCGATGCAACACCAGATTTTATGGTAGATAATTGTAAGGAGGAATTTGGAGATAAACTGACTTCAGATTAAAACAAAAACAAAAATGTGGCTAATCACATTTGCCAGTGGTGGCATTTCCATGTCCTCCTATAGGCATTTAAATAATAGCAGTGCCTTTTCCTTCTCATTGCACATTTATTCAAAAATGTGGATAAACTTAATTTCAGTATAGGAGAAATGCTCTCCCTGCTGTGGCCAGTCACAACTCTTCAAATCTGAAGGTAGCTTCTTTCTTCAAATTCAAGCTTCTTTGCTGACTGGTTTCTTCTAAAGAAGAAAATGAACCCTTTTCCTTGAATTTTTTTAATAAGCATGACAAGGAATCAGTGCTTAAAGATATAATTTATTTTCCAAATTTCCCAGGCTCCCCAATATTTACAACACATGCAAAATTCCCATATTACAGACAGAGAAATTTATTCTAAATAGTTTCTTTTGGGATGGGTGTATCAACTTGCAGCATCACAGTACTTATACATCTTTGAACTTTTTCTTCCTAGCATTTTTCCTGCAAGTGCAGGGCTTGCTCTTTTCAGATCAAGGGTTGATCCTTTGTCCCAAAGGTGCTTTTTTTCAAGAGGTAACTGGACTTTCTGGGTTTTTTTGTTTTTGAAGACGTTCCACTTCTCATTCAAGAAGCTTCTTCAACTCTGACTGGATGGTGGGGAATGGAAAGATTTATACTCCTTGCAAATGACAGCTGGTCATTTGCATTCTTGCAGTCATTGAGGCCACCTGGAAGTTTGTCTGGGTCATCAGGATCACCTGAGTGGTGCAAATGGGTGTGGAGCCTTCTTGGAACTGTTGAAAGGAGTCTGTTGTAGACTGGAGATAGATGGCGTCTTACTAAATAATGGAAATGACCAGCTGTCTGCAAGAAGAATAAATCCTTCCATTCCCCACCATACAATCAGAGCTGAAGAAGCTTCTTGGATAAGAAGGGAAATGTCTTCAAAGAAAAATCAGAAAGTCCAGTTGCCTCTTGAAAAAGCACCTTTGGGACAACCATGACTTGGATGACTGAGAATCTCCATAGACATTTTTTAATCTTTTCATGACTGGCTTGTCGCCTAAGCCTGGTGTTGATATAGCCTTTCAAACTGGCTGGAATCATTTGATGAGAATGAAAGTGTGGAATGAAAAACCTAGGTACAGACCATCAAACATCTCTCAGAAGTACAGACCAGAAAATGTCAAATAGGCTTGGTAAAACATGTTTATTTGGAAGGAGGTCCCATTTTAGTAGATCTATTCCTCAATCAATATGCTTCTGATTGCAAGCTCAGTCCCAATTAAGTCCCAGTGTGCCTAATTTTCTTCTTACAAAGGGCCCTCTCATTGATCATAAACAAGGTCATCAGATAATTAAACCTTTTAAAACTAACCATTTAATCACCTTAATCACTTGTCAACAATCTCGCCCTTACCAAACTGTTTTCTTATTCAAAAGAAAGAGGCAGTTATGATAAGACGGGCTTGATTAGACAGACTCATCAAGGTTCTTCAGAATTTAGAAAACTAATGAACCAGCTGGAGATTTTAGACTCTTTATTATTTATTATTTAGTCTTTGGCTGTTATGGTTCTTTGCTATAGTTTGTTCTTTAAAAATCATTTGCTATCGTATCTGTTAGTTTCTAGTGAACGTATAGTGTGTTCCCACATGAAATTTTTGCTAACTCTCATTCATAAATCGTTCTTAAGCAACAATTTTGTGGTAGGCAACATCTCTCAGAATTCTGACAGAAAAGAACAAACCCTCAGCTAATAATTATAGGACCCAGCCTTTGCATTTTTAGATATATGCATGTAAAATGTATTAAATGTACAATTAAAATATAAATATTAGTATCATGCTGATATGCTTATCAGAAAACCATTTTTTAAAAGAATACAGCCAATGGCAAACATAGATTTACTTCCATGTTATATGTAAATCTATTCATAGATCTCTCTCAGGATTTCTGCCTTCCAACTATGATCTTGCATAATGTTTTATCCTATATATTTATAGAATAAAAATATTTGGATCAAATCTTTTTCTTCCTTCCCACTCAGTAGAAAATATTTGATCCTTGTTTAAATTCACACAGAGAAGGTTTCAGGGGTCAGATCTTAGGTTTATATCTATTCCAAATACTGAATCTCAGGAAATCAAAAGTGCATTTTGAAGCTGTTTTCTGCTCTTCAACCTCACTGTAACAATTGATTGTGGCTTGTTTAAAATACTTAACACATTTATCTTCTAATCGTTTTGATTTGAAATGTTCTCTACCTAGATACAAAATAAAAACCTTAACAGTATATTATGCAGAATTGCTGGTTATGTCCTCACCAGCTGTTGGTACTTTTATCTTCATGGTTTGAACCTTTCATTGCTATAAATACATTTCACCTCAACAGCAATGTGCTGCATTCATAATTTAAACATTTTGCATCACCTCATGCAGTTTTTAACCTGCAGCTCTTAAAAATAATAGCAGCAACTTATCCCTTTTCAATAGTCCGCAGCGATACGAATTTTAGATGTGGGAAACAAAATGAATTATTGCCCTAGATCAGTAAAGTCAATAATGATAATGGTACTTAGCTATTAAACTGAGATTGTTTGATTCCTCCTAGAGTCTGAGCATCAATGCACTCCTTATTACCATATCTTATGAGGTATAGTATAGACAGTAAAATATCAAAAATAGAGGGATCCGTGCAGAAGGGATAAAAAACCCTTCTTACTACAATTTAGATTTATTAGCATTGCTTTGTATTTATTTTGGCTGTCCAATTCCATTTGCTCTGTTATTGATTCCAAAAGAGCACCCTATCTACAAAAGCAATTCAGATTCTTCAGCACATCGACTGCTGCAGCCTTTTTGTGTGGCCTCTGAAGAGTCCAATAAAAAATGAGAAGCCATACTTGAGGATAGCTTAGTCTTTCATGTACCATGCCTATCCTCCCATTTCTCACTTCTCTGTTTTTCTTCTTTTCTGATTAAGTGATTCAGTTAACGTTTGGGGGGCTATGCATGCATTTGTGATGCATTGAAGAGGTAAAGGAAGAGTGCTTGAAGATTTAATTGCTCCAAGTTTAACTACTGTTTTTCCCCCTGCTCCTATTTTTAATTCCATTACTTTACTTTTAATGGCAATTTATTACATCACAACCTTTCCCACAAGTTCAATGACAATATTTTCTTCCAAACTGTGCCTCAGTGGCTGTCCTATGCTGAATCAGGAGACACACATGGCCAAAAGCTAGTTTTCTAGGAAAGATGAAGACAATGATGCAAAAAGAGAACAATTCTCAGTGAGCCAGTAGATAGTTGGTTTACCTTCTAAAACAAGTGCCCATTTCTCCTTTTTTGTGGAACCTTTATTCATCTCTTCATTCCATTTAATTTATAATAATGGAAACAACAACTGACCCCCTATTATGGGTCTTTAGATGACATATTTTCCATATGTATTTATTGTGCCTTTAATCTATAGTAGTTCTGAACCCTTGATGATTTTAGTATCATATCTTGATTTTATGTCTATAGTCAAAGTGTAGTGGGAAGCAGTTATCTTCTCAAGAGCATGCATTCATAAAATGGTGGTACTAAAAACACACAGTGAGAATAAAAGTAATCCACCCAAAATTGACATGCAGAGAGTCGGAAAGCCTGAAAAAACAGCGGGTTCTCATTGAGCCCAAATAGTTGGCTTTCCCTTCCTTAGGACTATCGCTCTGTCATGAGCATCCAAAGCAAACAAATGCACAGCATTTATAAGAGGAACAGGCAAGCCCCTGTTCTTTCCCAATTTTTGTCATTCTTGAATGATTTAAGTTATGAACCCAGCAACAAATTTTGCAAATCTAAATTCTCTCTCCCTCCTTCTCTCCCTCTGTGTGTGTGTGTGTGTGTGTGTGTGTGTGTGTGTCACTCATACACACACATCTTACTTAGAAAGTCTTTAAATGTCTTCCTTTGAAACATTCATTACTGCTGGTAGCTATTGTTCCAAGGTATAATAAAGATACAAAGCTCATCACTTACCTTTTCCTTCCTTGAGAAGGGAAATATTTGATTCAGGTGCAGCCAGCAGCCTTGGTTCAGAGGACTGAATTAGCAGCTGCTGCAGCAGCTGCTGCAGCCGAGCCAGATGCTTCTTGCCCAAGTCACTTGCTTCTTTACCCCAATCCACCCACCCCCCACCCGCTCACAGGCTCCCGGAGGGAAGGGCAACTGTGCCTCAGTGGCTGTCCTATGCTGAATCAGGAGACACACATGGCCAAAAGTTTGTTCTTCAGGAATCAGCACTCTGCCCCTTTGTCTTCTGGACTCAAAGAAAGAATGTTTGATTGGGGTTTCTTGTGCAGAAGACCTACCCACTCATTTTAGTTTACTCCAAAATAGAGCTATCAGTCTCTTCCTTGCAGAGTTGTAGCTTTGTAACTTCAAATCCAGAAGGTTGATTTGAGAGCTTTGCTGTGACATCTACCCATAGAAACTGGTCAATATATCTCCCTCACCTCTGCCTCCCTCTTGTGCAGATTTTCAAGAGGAAAATGGAAGAGCAAAAGAGCTGAAACCAATAATATAAATAACAAGAAAATAATCACAATAACACAAAAGCCTCAATCAAAAAATCCTTGCTTTTGATAAACATTAAGATACTTTAAAATGCTAAGATTGCTTCTGCTTTTCAGTACATGAAGTGATGCATTCGTGTCTGTGATACAATTGCCTCCTGTCTCCTCTTCTCCCTTTCAGCTGCTGGTGAACTTCACATTTCTTCCTGTAGCTAATCAGTTCACTCTTCTCTTGAAGACAGTCAGCATCAGTTGTTGTTAAGGGACAGTTGCCAGGAGGGTGGGATCTTGTGGAAGGAGCAGTAGGAGATTTTGTATCAAAACAAAGTTTTTTTTAAAAAAATAAAATGGAAATTCTTCTTTCCTCCCTGTTTATCCCAAAGAGGGACTTAATAGCTATCGTAATGATCTCTTAGTATATGATTGCTTGCTTTTTGAATAGCCAAAATTCCTCTCCCGCAGTACTCAAGTTCAAAAAGCAAAATAAGTAATAGATCACTATGGCTCTGGATTTTATTTCAGCCGACAAATTCAGAGAACATTTCTCTCCTCTGGTGTTTTCCTGCTAAAGGGAATCAAACTAACTGCTGAGCCTAATAAGGACATGCTGTTGTTAAAAGCTGTGGTTTGTCTTTTGACCCAGCCAATCTCCTTCAGTATTTAACCAGAAGCGGGTACATTCTGCTGATAATTCATGAATAGAGTTAGATTGGGCTGAGAATCAGAAATAGCTTGGAACTTCATTTCCAGGCTAATTCCCTTCTGAGGAATCCATGCAGCTCATTACCATGGTTATGTATTGGAGAGTTGGTCAACACATTTCCATAGAAATCATCCTAATCTGTAGTGGACAATGTAGCATAAGTAGCTAGAAGCATTTCAATGGAAGCTGAATGACACATGGAGGCATAGAAGATGAACAGAGGGGGCTTCTATTTTCTTGTTAATAATTTTCTGCTTTAGATGTTAAACTTTAAGCCATCTTAGCTTTTCCATTTTAATTTTGATTCCATGTAATAATGGAAGAGCCTGGAAATGGAAAAGCAAAACTACATCAAAGCTAAAAAAAAAAAAAAGATAGCAATTTAAACTTTCTCTAATCTTCCAAAAAAATTAGTACAGATGAATAAACCCTGATCAGACATCAGAACTTTAGGATAAACATAAAACTTAAGAAAATAAACATAAAATATAGATACCAGTGCTGCTTTATACAAAAATCAGAAGTGATGCCAAAAAGTTCATGCCTCTAAGACAATCTTATTATTGAGTTGTGAAAAATAGTCCTCTTGTTTGAAAATAAAGAATCATAGAGGACTGTATTTATATGAAGAAATGCATTTTTGAGATAGTTGCAGGGTAGAACAACACGTCTATTTCTCCAATTTAGAGCAAATAAGTAGTCCTTAAGGCTTGACTCCAAGAAATGTGTCCATATACTTTTTTGCTACCACATAGAAGTAATTGGATTTTTCTTCCTTTTAGTTCCAGTCTACCCCGCACCTTGGGATTTTCTGCTGGTGTCTCATACAAGTACTAATAAAATCCAGCTTTTTAAAAAGTTCAACAAGACCAAAGTGCAACTACCTATAGGAAAAAAAAAATAGACCATGCTAAAATAGAGTAAGATTTATTTATGACCTAACCCAATTCATGTGGTCCGAACTGGGAAATTGGAATGTCTGACTTCGAGGAGGGGTGGGATTCAAAATTTTTAACAACCAGTTTTGTGGGTGTGGCTTAGGTGGTGGGCATGGCTTGGTAGTCATGTGACTGGGTGGACATGGCTTGGTTATTGGCTGGGTGTGGCCAACTCAATATCACTCACATCAAGGCACGCATCTCCTCACCTGGCCTCTCATGACTGTGGGGATGCTACAACAGTCGTAAGTGTGAAAAATGATAATCACTCACTTTTTTCAGTGCCATTGTAACTTTAAATGGTCACTCCACACAAGCAAAGTATCAGCAAAGGAGGGGAAAACTCCAGAGAAGTTCCTGAGACAGGATGTCTAGTCCTGTCAAGAATGTAATAAAGGTTAACGGAGAGGCAGTTTCTGTAAGCAACACCAGAATGTTTCCTTCCTGCCTTCCTTACAGGATTAGGCCAGTAATTTCTTCTAACAACTGGTTCTCCAAACTGCTTAGAATGTAACAACCAGTTCTAGCGAATAGGTGCAAACTGGTAGAATCCCACCCCTGACTTCAAGGAGTACAGACTTTTTTTGATCCACGAGGAAAATGGGAGATTATCAGCGCAGACAACTGATTGGCATTTTCACTACTGTTCCTTCTGAGATTAGGAGAATGCGAGCTGTGATGGTACCAGAATATATGATCTGTCTCTGTCTGAAGCACAAAGCAAAAAGTGCTTTTCTCATAGTAATTAAGGAGTAACTTTGTTTTTTAAACAATTGCTTTATTCTAACTCATATGATTTTATCCTATCCTGTTAGTTGACACATTTGGGGGTAATATAAAAATTTGTTAATATGATTTTACATAATTATGCATTAAAAATGAGTATATATTTTACAGCCACAGAGCCATATTATTACAACAGCTCTATTGATAAGTTAATAAGAGTTACTCATCCATAAATCTATTATTGTAATAAGAAAATTAGCTTAAAACTCTGGTTTGCAATTCACCGCATTTAAAATGAAGTTTAATACAGATGCCAATCTACACGACAGAGAAGATCAGTTCATAGACTGGATACACTGTAATGTGGGTTTGTTTGGTTTTTGCTTAGTGTTCCTTTTGAATTTAGCCACAGTAGATATATCATGATTTATAACTTAGCATATAGCATGAACCAGCTAATTGTGGTTACACTCAGAAGGCAACAGTTAGTCAAATATGAATGTGTGAATGTGTGAATCTTGTTATAAAATTGAAAAGGGCAAAAAGGAAGAATTCAGTAAGAAAGCCCAATTCATCTTTGCTACTGGAGGATGAGATTGGTGGTGGTGGTGAGGAAGCATTTTAATACTGGCGACAGATGGAGAACTAATTTCAAAGTGGCTGATTCCAGGCATTACATAGCAAATGGATGCATGGGTGACTCAGCATATTTGCTTTTCTTGGCAAATTATGTAAGTTTTATGTGCACACAATTCTCTCCATCAAAGAGATATGTCAGCATGACGGACAAAGGAAATGAAGGGGTTATCCTTTTCCCTGTGTTGTTTTGACTGCTCTAGCAACAGTGTTGGAAAATAAAACTCATAAATCTTTCTCTGCTTGACATCTAAATAGCTTCAGAGGCAACAATGAGAAAAATTATAAGTAGCTAAGCATGAATTTGAAGCAAACCTTCAAGCAGATTTGAAAATCAAGGAAAGTGTGATTCAAGTGATTGAAAATGATCTTAATAGCCTCACGTTGTCTAGTACTGTCCTTTTGTAAGAACATTGATTTCTTTTGAATGACTAAAAAATACCTTGAAAAATATTTTTATTCCCCCTTTCTTCCAGATGAGGACACTGTGTTCTCACTAACTATGTGAAGATAAGCTGTGGTTTGCAGAAGAATATGCTCATGTATCATATAAGCCATGCAGTAAATCAGGTTTAAGCAAACTATATATTAAGAGTATGATGTGACTTTTTTCAGGAATTGAAGTAGACCGAGACAGAAACAATTGAATGGTGGCAACTTCTCTTAATACCTTATATGGACTTTCTGTTGGATTATTTTAAAATATGCTTCTAGACAGAAGTTCATCAAGCAGATTGAAAAGAATGTGTGTGATCTCTAGTAGAAATCCTTTTTAATATAAATATAATTTTTATTAAGAATCTTGATTACAATAGTAAAAATTAATACAAACTAAACTTAGAGAAAGACAAGAGAAAAAAGAATCACACCTGCAAAAAAAAAGCTAGAAAAAGAAAGAATATAATAAAAATATATATAAAAGGGGCTTCCAATCTTCATTACCAATATAAACAAATTTAGTAACTCTACCACCCCTACAGAATTACAGATATTTCTTCATCCCATAGCAATCCCTTATCTATAAGCAAAGGCATAAAATCAACAATCAAGAGAAAGGTTGCCAGAAGTAACAACAAATCTTGTTTTAATCTTGATCAAATAAACCAACTTTATCTTACCTTTGCTTCCTTTCCCCGTTTTCTTCCTGCTCTTCTTTTTTTCTGTTTTCACTTTGGATTTTAATTGTTATTAATTATATATATATATATATTTTCAATTCTCTTATCAGCAAAATATCCATAAAGGGTTGCCAGAAGTAACAACATATCTTGTTTTAACCTTCATCAAATAAACCTTTATCTGAGTTTTCCTTTCTTTTACTTGCAAGGGTCTTAATCTTTAATTCAATCAAATATTGTTTGTATTTGATATTATTTTTAACTTCTAACATTCTTTCCTTTTACTTTTAACAATCTTAAACATTAATTCAACCAAATATTGCTGTAGGATTTGATTTCTCTTCAATTCTTTATCCCCTCACACAGACTTTTTCAAGGTTTTAGTAACCCTCTTTTGTCCATTCAATAAGAAAATATTTTCCAAGTTACCCTCTTGATTTA